GCTCAAAGATAGATTCTGCTGCCACAGGAGCATCTCCCACCACTCTGACTGTTCCATCCTGGGGAGACCACATTGTCCATTCTTCACTGTGTGAAAAGCCCAACAGGGCATCAGGCCAGGAGTGTAGAGAGAACCAGACTCTTCAGCCCAGAGATGAGAGCATACACAGAGAAACTGAAGCTGGCTAAAATCCATTCTCCATAACTTGTTTTTTTGCTGTGTAACTTTTAAAGTAAACTACAGGGAGAATACTGAGACCTGGCCAGTAGTTGAATCTTGTTTCCTTTCAGAAGAAGAGTGCCCCAGCCTAGCTATTTGATTCAACATTTTCTGGATCTTATTCAACACACAGCAGTCACTTCAGCTGGAAGAATGAAGACAGTTCTCACCTCAGAAAAACCTGCAGGCTTGTGGTTTCACTGTTCCATTGACAGGTAAGATGATAATCTCTGGAGGCTGGAAAGTCCTGTCTTCTGTATCCTTCTTTAACTTTTCAACTACCAGTTAAGCAAAGCCACTATCACTAACTTTGCTACACGTTCCATGGTGTTCAGCAGCCCCTGGGAACACCTACTAGAGAGAAGCTGCAAGCATGAGTGACCTGCTAAGGGTTCAGATGTGATCAAAGCTGTGCAACTGCTCTGAATTCTCAAGGCTGAGGTACTTACAGGCATAACAAAACCAGACCTTTGGGGTACCACTTCATTATTTACACAGCACTGTGAAGGGCAGGAGAAGCAGCTTTGAATGCAAGAATAAGAGGAGTGCACTCACCTTAGTTCAGGACTCTGCTGCTGCCAGTCGGCCCCTGGGCAGCTGCACAAGCACTCCTGCTGCAGCAGCCACACTGCCAGCTCCCAGCTCCTCTCCTGCTTCTGTTCCCCCTCTTCACGACCACCAGAGTGCTCAGAGGGCCTAAGGATCCTGTTGAAGGTTTTGAGGCTGCTCCTTGCTGAGGTTTTTGAGGATCAGAAATGTGGACTGCAACAAACCTTGCGGGAGCCTTGAGCCTCACATGTTACTGTTTTGTTGTGATCTTGTGTTCCTTGTACTTTCCTTCTCCTCATCACTTTTAGATCCACGACAGTACTGATTCCAGCTGTGTAATATGGGGAATTTTGTCCTAGAGAAAAAATAGTCATCCCTCCCTTGTGCTCTACTCTGCTAACACACCAAGAATACTTAAACCAGAGACATTGCAAACTGTGCTCAGAATCTGGTGATCTTCAAATTACTATTATCAATTGGTGGTTATCTCTTAACAAACAACCACAAGGAATGCTGGCTCACTGATTCAGAGGGGAATTCCTTTGCCATGTTATTAAGGCTATGTAACTACAGTCAAAATGAATCCATTAAAAAAGTATAAAACAGCTTGTTGTTAGGAAAGGAAAGGAAAGGAAAGGAAAGGAAAGGAAAGGAAAGGAAAGGAAAGGAAAGGAAAGGAAAGGAAAGGAAAGGAAAGGAAAGGAAAG